GGAGGAGGAGAAGGAGGAGGAGGAGGGAGGAGGAGGAGAGAGGAGGAGGAGAGGAGGAGGAGGAGGAGGAGGAGGAGGAGGAGGAGGAGGAGGATGGAGGAGGAGGAGGAGGAGGAGGAGGTGGGATGATGAGCGAGCCTCAGAGGAAGCGGTGCCGCCACCTCCGCGCGCCCGAGAGCCAAGGCGCACGCGCGCGCGCGACACGCGCGGTCGGGCGCCGCGGGGGCCCGCCCGATGGGCAAGGCCCCCGACCGTACGGGGGTCCTGAGGGGACAGGACCCCCGACCGTGCGGGGGTCCTGAGGGGACAGGACCCCCGACCGCGAGGCAGAACACGACGACCTTCACCACGCCGACCTTCAGCCATAGCTGTCGCTGTCGGAACCGAGGACATCCTCGGTGTCCGCGACGACTTGCACCCAGACGGCCTTGTCCCTGTCCTCGGCGAACTCGCCGTTCAGGAACCTCGTGCCCCACTCCTGCTCGTCCAGGACCGTGGAGCTGCCTTGGCCCAGCGCCTGCTGGGCTCCGTCGCGGAGCCTGCCGAGAGCGGCGAACACCGCTTGACTCCCGAGCTTCGCCAAGATCGCGTCCAAGACGGGCACCAGCTCCGCCTCCAAGGACGCCGCCAGCGCGCTGGCCAGCTCAGCGGCCTCACGCTCAGCGACGCGAATCGCCTCGGTGAGGATCGCGTCGTCCGACTCCGCGCCCTGCTTGGTTGTCTTACCCTTCTTCGTCTTGATGGCAGGGGCTGCCGCCAGCGGCGGCGAGGGCGCAGCCGCCGCACTCGCCGCACGGGCACCGCGCGCCGCAGCAGCCGCCAGCCGCCCCAGCCTGCCGCGCCAGCGCCGCTGCACCACACCAGCAGCAGCGGCACGCGCGGCGTCCGCCTGCCGCACGGCCTCGGCCAAGGCCCACGCCTCTGCCGAGCGATCCGCGAGCACCTGCGCCGCCTCCCAGCGGGCCGCCCGCTTGCCCTTGCCCGGCATGCGCCGCCAGTCGTCGTCGACCTCGCCGCTCATGCGCTCCATGTCGATGGGACGCACGGCCTCCTCCAGCTGCTCCTGCATCTGGCTATGGGCCGCCACGTTGCCCTTCGTCTTCAGCACGTCCTCGTTCGCCGCGGCCTTCGGACGCCGATCAGCGGCCCCGCGCCGCGCACCAAGTGCGCCGCCAGAGTCGCTCACGACCGACTCCTTCACGTGCAACGCGCTGCAGTCGACGGGCGCCACCGACTGCTCGGCATCTCTGCCGTCCACGTCGTGCGCGATGTCCTGACACGGCTGCCCCGCGCCCCGTAGCAGGCGGATCAGCTCTTGGCCGGAGGAGGAGGTTCGGAGGAGGTTCGGAGGAGGTTCGGAGGAGGAGGAGGAGGAGGAGGAGGAGGAGGTGGGAGGAGGAGGAGGAGGAGGAGGAGGAGGAGGAGGAGGAGGAAGAGGAGGAGGGGGCGCCCGCTCTGACGCTACAGTGGTGTGTGCGACCGGCAGCCTGCCTGGGGAACATTTGGGGGGCGCCCGAGCCCCGGGCGGGACCGCGGCCGAGGCCCGTGCGCGTGCCTGCGCCAGCGGCGCACGGCCGAGCAGCGCGAGGACTTCGGCTGCCTCGTGCGCGGGGACCTCCGAGGCGCTCCGCGGGAGGGCCGAGGACCAAGTCGGGCCTGTCTCCCTACAGGAGGAATATTCGAACTTAGTCAACAAATAGTTTGGGAATATTTTGTTGTAAATCACTTTTGACCATTTGGGAGTATTGTTTTGATTTTTCGTCCAAAATCCGCCTGTAGGGGGGACAGGCCCGACCTAAGCCGAGGAGGGGGGGGGCGACCCTCCGATTTGAAGGCAGGACGGCCTTCCAGCAACGGGAAGCCCCCTGGAAGGTCTCTTATTGGGAGGCGGCCGGCTGGAAGCAGGGAGGGCTTCCCGGGAGGGCGTTTTGTTGGGGGGGGGGGGGGGGGGCTGATTGGCAAGGCTGCTCGGGAGGCAGTCACGAGGGCTGCTGGGTCGCACGGATACGCTCCGCGAGGGGCATCCGCGAAGCATCGCCGCCATATCCGCGGGGTCGCGCCCCGGCGGCCCGGGCCCGCGGGGCCGCGGATACGGATGTATGCTTGAGTCGGGCCTGTCCCTCTACAGAGGGAATGTTCAAAAATAATCCCAAAATGGTCTGGGGACTATTTTTTGAGTACTGCTTAACGTTCTTGGGGTATGTTCTTAATTTTTCGTCGAAAATCCCCCTGAAGGGGGACATGCCCGACATAAGGCAAGGGGGGGGGGGGGCTCGGGGGGCCAAGAAAAGCTGAGTGAGGGATGCACGTCCCGAAGGCTTCTCCAGGATAAGAGACAGGGAAAACAGATAACGAAAACTGATGTGACAGGTCGCAGATCGGTGGGGGGAGGCGGGGCGAGAATCAGAGGAGGAAGAGATGCGGATACCACGGCTCGTCCTGGAGTGTTCTCGGCGCCACGGCTGGAGTCGCTTCCGAAGCTCTGGTCAGAGTGCGCCCCATAGGAGAGGTTCGGGCAGTGGCGGCATCTGTGCCTGCTGCCCCCCCTGGAGGGAAGTTCCTCGCAGGAAGAGAGGCCAGCAGTGGCGCAGTGGGATTCGCCTCGGAGTCCTGGTCATCACCACCCACCGAATCACCCCAACCCAACCCGAAGGCTTCAAGTTGCCCTCCATTTCCACGGGGGGGGGGGTCCGGGAACATTGAAGAAGCACATGTGGAACCCGTACCCCCCCCAACCCGAAATTCGGGTCTTCTGGTTGCGTTGGGGTGGTCCTGAGGTGGGTGGTCAGGTCAGACCGCGCTCCAGGAGAGGTCCTGGGGAACAGCGGTACTTGCTGGCACCCGCATTGTCGGAGGCCTTTGGGCATTTGGGGCCCGGCGAGCCTGTTTGTGTCTAGACTCTGGCAAGTCTGCTTGCATGGACGGGGGGAGGGGGGGGCTGAACCTCCTGAAGCAGGCCGCAAACGACTTGACGTGCGAAAAAATAAGCCAGTCGAAAGGCACTTGCACACTCGTGTTCGATTGCAGAGGGCGAGTGTGGGGGGGAGGGGGGGGGAGAACGCCATGCAGGTAAACTTGCCCGAGTCGGAAGAAAAACAGGCCCCGTCCTGGGCGTCCCCGAGCTCCTGAGGCCTCCAGGGAGCGGAGGCCTCGGGATCCGCCCTGAGAGCTCCCGGGGCCTCGGCGGCCTCGGGGGCCGGGCGTCTGGCGACGAGCTGGCGTGTGAGAGCGTGGCGTTGCTCCTGCTGCGTCGGCGCTGCTCGGGCCCGCGTGTCGGGCCGAAGGAGAGGGGGGGGATAGGGAAAGGGGGGGGATACGAAATCTGCTGCGTGCAGCTGGTTTCGCCCCGCCGCCGGGCCCACTCCTCGATACATCGATACATGTGTAAGTTATGATGTGATCGATCTTAAAATAAGAACTAAGAGACCTCAGGGTACATGGGCGCCTCCCGGCGCCGGGAGGTGCCGGGAAAATTAGCTACGTGAGCTGATTCTCAAACGTCCCCTTTGCTATCCCCCCCTTTCGCCCGGCCCGAGTGTTGCTCCTGCTGCGTCGGCGCTCCTCTCGGGGCCCTCGTGGCCGTCTGGCGGCGGTCCTGGCCTGGAGAGCGGCCAGGAGGAGCCGAGGCCCCCCACGCGAGGTGGCGTCTCGCGGCGCCGCGGGGGGAAGAAACAGCAGGGAGAGACAGCGGCAAGCAGGCAGGACAGGGGAGACAGCAGGCATGAAGCAATACAGTAGATACCTTAAGCAAGAAATTGACCTGCCCACGGGTGCCCCTCGATAGCTTCTTATCTTCCCAATGGGGCCGCAGAGTCCTTAGGTGCCTTAGGAATCTCAGCGTCGACGGAGAATGTGCTTTGTAAGTTTGTTTTTTATCAAGGGTTGGCTCTCCTTCCGTTGCCATTTTGGTCCAAGCCATTTTGGCCCAAGGCGCTGCGAGCGGCTACGAGTTGGCTGCCTTTTTTTCATTGGCGCGGACAGACGTGGAGTGCAGGACCGTACTACCGCTACAGGTTGCGCGGCCTCCTCGCTCAAGGTCAGCCATGTTAGTGCAGGCGCGACCGCTGTGGGGTGCGAATCGTCCAAACTCAATACGCTTGCCTGTCGTTGCAGCAGACGAACATCAAGCAGTGGATAGTGACTTCCTCAGCGATGATTCGGGGTTGGAGTCGTTCGGCCAGAGAGTTCGAGCGAACCAACTGGCAAGCACGTATGTTATACCAATCGCAGTATAATATGCATGTGTATAGTTTTGCTTAAACCTCTTAGTTGGCATCAGTTGTGGGGGTCGCTAATGTCCGCTGCATGTCTCGCTGGACACCGCGGGGATTGCTGGTCTCCGCTGCTCACGCCGAAGCGAATGCCGCATCGCAGGTACGGTCCGTGCTGAACATCACGGCCTCGAATCCAGGTTTTGAAAGTCTGAGCCTGAAGCGTTGTGCGCTCGTCGGGTCTGGTGACATACTGGCTTGCGCCAGGAGAGGTTGGGATATCGATTCGCACGACGTGGTGATCCGATTCAATCGGATCCCCACAGCTCCTTTCTAAGATTTTGGCAGGCGCATTGATATCGTTGTGGCTGGCAGCAATGATTCTCTCCAGGTCATGGGAAATCCCAATTCTTCAAGTGGAAGCACCAATTGCGCGGAGCCAGGTTCCGGTTGTTCCGGTGCGGGTATAGTTTACACAGGAAGTACCGGCTGTGCTGGTGCATACAGGCTATGGCCGCCTCAGCATTCTTTCGTCGGCTGCTTCCATCATAGCGTGACACATTTCGCCCATGCTAGCGTGCCGCACGATCCCTCAACTGGTTTTAGAGCGTTCGTTGTGCTTGCTGCTGTCTGCGAGCAGCTCGACGTTTACGGTTTTGGAGGCAAAACCAGTTCGGTTGTAACTGCTGACGGTCACAGGGTGGGGTTCAACAACCATTAGACCAGGAGCATCGAAAAGACAGCACGATCGCCAATGGTAATTGGTACCGCCTTGATGGAAGAAAGGACATGAAACAGTGGTTCAAGGCAGCCGTCGGGGACATCCATATGGCCGGCGTGCATCACTGACTGATCACCAAGGTGCCGTGGCGTTCATTGTCAGATTATGTCGAGTGTTACTGACTTGCCTGCGTATCGTTCGGGATGTTGAACAAAAAAGTTGGCTCTTCTCGTATGCGCATATTGTTGGCAAGTCGGCAAAAAATACGGCAAGAACCACCAGCGAGACGGCAGCCTTGCTGTGCGAATTTCACAGCATGGCGCCCCCCAGGAGGCCAGCGCATTTCCCACGCGACGACCGTCAGATGTAATGTTTGAAGCGGGGTTCCCATCGTGCGTTTGGTACCTCCCACTGGAAGCGCGCGACCTGTCTGGAAGGCTTCGCGCACGGGGCGCTATTCCTGCCCAGCGAACATCCAGGACACGGGGTGACCGGCGCCACCACACGCATACCGCGGTTCCCCCACTTGCCCTCGGGCACACCTTCCTTTCTCCTCCTGTTCCTCCTGCCTCCTCATCTCCCGGTCACAGGACGTATTGTAGAGCAGTTTTTGGTTCCATCCTTCCTCCTCCCCCCGTGTGCTCCTCCCCTCCCGTGCGTGACTTCCAACACCTCTGATCAACCCTCCGGTTGTCTCACTCCCCCTTCCCTGACTCCGGATCCGCCCTACTTAGGGGAAATTCGTAAGTGGGGCTTGGAATTTCCGCCTTACTTTTCAAGCCCCGCTGATGCCAATTTCCGCCCTACTTTTCTGTTGCTGTTTCTGTGGATTTCCGCCTTATTTTATGTTGGGTGCAGCAATTTCCGCCCTACTTTTTCGGCCTCTTATAGGTGGATTTCCGACGCAATTTTAAGTTGGAGAAAAAGCCAAAGTAGGGCGGATTTGGAGTCAGGGCCCTCCTCGCGTCAGGAGATGTTGTCGGGTCGGACGTACTGGGGGGTCGATGGCAGAAGGGAAGCTACGAAGCCTGCTGCTCGCAGCTCGCCTCGGCCCCCGCCGCCGGGCGCACCTCCTCGACACAATTGGCGCCAGGAGGCGCCGGGAAAGCCAGCTGCTGAGCTGCTCCGTCAGCCCTCCCCCACCCACCCCTTTTTGGCGGCGCGCACAAGGGGGTGGGAGGAGGGGGGAGGGCTTCTTAGAAGCAGGCTGCTTCTTAGAAGGCGCCGGCCTTACATCTATAGATAAGGCCCGCGCCTTCTAGGAAGCAGGGGTGCTTCTAAGAAGCCTCCCCCCTCCCCCCACCCCCCCGGGCGCGTGGCCGACCTTTGCTCCTTGGCTACGGTAGGTTCGCGTCGTGTCGCCAAGCGGCGGCCCAGTTGCAGGCGTGCAACGTGGAACGCCGCCAGCGACCCAGAATCGGGCGACGTTGAACGATCTGACGCTCTGGAAGTGCGGTGTCAGACGCCAACGCCGAAGCCGGCAGGGACGAACTTGCCGTACTCTCCCCCCCTCCTTCTGCTCAGGAAGGGAGAAAATACACAGACACAAGTGATCGCCGTCTCCCAGGCAACTATAGAGTATGGGAAGACATTGGAAACTGGGGGGAAGACGAGCCACCTAGAACATATGGGGAAATAGGGGGACTCCTGGGGTTTGTGTCTATTTGTTTGCGTGTCCCTGGGTCCTTTTTTTGGCGTCCGACCCGATGTCAAGGGGGGGAGGATCCGGACGCCGCTCCCAGGTGCGCTGCTCGCATCTCCGGGGCTGATCGCGATGTACCGCTTCGACGCAGTGGTTGCAGCGGGGCGCGCGGGGCAGAGGACGATCTCGAGAGAAGAGAGGCATTGACCATGACCCAGTTGTCGCGGGATCTTGTCGACGCCGATCTTGGTCGTGGCCCATGCCGGCCGTCGCCGCTTCGCGAGAATGATTCACGAATTGGCGGTGACCAAGGCGGGCGGTGACAAAGATCGGCACGACTTTTCCGCGCGCAGTCCTTGTTGTGGTCCCCGTTTTTACCCTCCGCTATCGCTCGTTCGGCGCGGGAACTCGGAGGGAATTGTGCGCACAGGGACGGACGAGCGAGGATCGGGGAGGAGCAGTACCAGCCAGAAGGGGGTCGAGCGGAGAGAAAGACATGTACTCGTTCACCCTACCGTTCATCTGCTTGCTCACCTGCTCTGGCACTGACGGTCCTTCCTGGACGCACGGTGGTCACGACGACGATCGCCATCAGTGATGGAGGCAGTGCTGGTTGGTAACACGACCACCGGGTACAGTGCTCAGGCGATCGCAAACACGGATCAAGGGGGCGTGGATTAGCGACGGGTCCCGTCTCCATGGAAAATCGCGGACTTCCACAGCCCGGCGAGGCGGCACCTGCCGCATTTTGGGGAGGGCACCTCCCCGATCCGTGGCCTTGGCGACCGCGCGCCGAGTCCATGGATTGCGAATCCATGGTTGTGCGCCCCCGAAGTGCCAGTGCGAAGTCGCGGGGCACCGAGGCCCGCGGGTCGCACGCCCGCCGAGCGCGAGGGGGAAGCGCTCGACAGCAGGGCTGCGTGCCGTGCGCCCTCCTCCCGCTCGAGCAGCCATCGAGCCCGACGGCTTCCCCGGGGCCCCGCCGTCGACCGTCGTCCCACGCCCCACGGGCTTTTTGTCGTCGGCGGCGAGGCGGCGAGCTCCGCTCGGGGGAGGAGCTGGATGGTCCGAGGTGGGAACTTAGCCATAACCACCGCCTGGGGCCTGGGGGGTCGATCTTCGCGGACCTCCACAGGCGGTGGATATATATATATATATATATATATACATATATATATATACATATATATATATACATATGTATACATACATACATACATACATACATACATACATACATACATATATATATATATACATGTACGTATACATATATATATATATATGTATGTATATATACATACATATATATATATATTCGAGCTTTTGGGAGCCAGAATATATCCATATTCACTGGCCGCCAGGGCACCAGGACGTCGGTTCCCAGGCGGTGGATATGGATAAATCCCCGCCCCGCAGATAAGGGCACCGATTAGCGAGACGGCCGGCGAGCGAGGAGGGAAAGGGGACGGCGGAGAGGCAGGAGGGACGCCCTGACACCGAAGAGTTCGACGATGAGCAGCTGGGCGGGCAGCAGCAGCCAGGCGCGCAGGGCCAGAGCGCGGTAGGCGGCCCACCCCACGTCCCACAGGCTGCCAGGACGGCAGTCGCCATTTGAGCAGGCGTGCCGCTCCCAAACTCACACTTGCCCTCGCGAGCCCAAGTGCTGCACCCACGAGCGCGAGGAGCGCCGTGGCCGCTGCAGCGAGCTTTGCCGGGCCAGCGCGAGGGCGCGTGGAGCTCCGCGAGGCGCGACCCACAAGAACGAGAGCCTTGGCAGCAAGCTTTCGTGTTCGTTGCGAATGTGACCATGAGCAGTCTTCCAGTCGGCAGCGCTCCGTCAGAGGCTTGGGAGGTTGGAGAAGGAGCGGGGCTTTAGACTGGATGCGTGTGCGGATAGACGGCTTTCCCCGCGCTCGTCGTCCCATTCCGCCCCATCGCAGGTTGCCACCGAGACCAAGGACGAGGAGGGCAGCTTCGGTCTCGACTGCAAGGTCCGGGCGGGCGGCGCATCAGGCTGCGGTTGTTTGTACACCCCCGCCGCGCGTTGGTTGAGCACGGCGGTTTTCACGTGCACGACCTCTACCCCTGATTCCCACAGTCAAAAAGTGGGCAGAGGCCATCGGAGTGTCTGCGAGCAGTTTGAGAGCGCGAGTATCAATGCCATGGCGGAGTATGTTGTTGTGTTTTTGGTTTTGTTTCGTCCTCCCCTTCCTTCACCATCGTGTCCTCTCACTGGTTATTCGTAGCCTTGTCTTGTTTTTTTCCCCTCGTGCCCTTCAGCACCGTTCAAAGATGGTTTGTCAACCAAACCTGCAGGCTGAGCTCTTTTTATGTTCATGCGCACGTCGGTTTCAGCTTCGGCTTCCAGCCGCGAGTGCATCCCGAAGCGCCTTCGGGCCAGCTCACCCGAACCGGTTTTGACGGCATGAGGCATGGGTGCCTCCATCCCCTCCTCCCTCGTGCCCTCTTCGCCACGTGGTGGCGCAGCCATCTGCCGCCTCTCGCTCCTCCTTCTGCTCCCTGCCCTCCCCTACAGTGGAGGCCCATACCAAGAAACACCCTGCTTGCCTCCAGGGTGCCCTGGGTTTCTTGGGTTTCGATGGTTCTGCTTTGGAGAGCGTGACGATCCCACACCAAAAGTCCACGGACGTCCTGGGGTCTCAAGGTTGGGTTTCTTGTGGAAGGTTTTTTGTGGATTGGCCTCCACTGTAGATGTGGTTACTCTGACACAAGCCTTCTATATGTCCGTCGGTGCTGCCAGTGCTCGAGGCCCAGTGGGCCCCGAGAATGGCGGGGCCGGTTCAGACTTTCGGTTGTGTTCTGGTTCCGTCGCCGTCTTTGTTATTTACGACGCCATTGATGCTATTGTTGTTGTTGTTGTTGTTGTTGTTGCTGTTGTTGTTGTTGTTGTTGAACACTATTACTTCTAAAGAATAATTATTGTTGGGGCCCCTGGTGCGCGGCCCCCTCGCCGCGCCTAGGCCGCAGCCATGTTTTCATCTTTTTCGTGAGGAAGTCTCTGGCAAAACGGGTTGGTCCGGATCCGGTTGTTTTGTTACGGGCGGTTTTCCCTTGCAAAAAATAAGGCAAAGTGGACATTTCTTGTTCTAACATAACCAAACTTCAAGAATCCCTTGCAAAAAAATAAGGTAAAGTGGACATTCGCGCGCGCAAGACGAAATCCTTCCAAAACCTTAGTGTTCGTAGCGATTTAACATAAAAACATCAAAAAAAAAACAATGGTTTTTCAAAAAAAAAAAAAAAAAAAAAATGTCAAAATTTCATCCCGCGCGCTCTTGCGGATTTGTAGGAAACCCAACACTTTTTAAACATTTCTGTCAAACGGGCTTTTGCGAGCAACTTTTTCGAACTTCTGCAACAACGGTTGCGCACCTGCCAGGGCCATCATCCCTGTCAAATAATACCATGCGGGACACATTCGTTTTTTCTTCGCGCGCGCACGCCGAAATCTTCAAAAACCATTGGGTTTCTTAGGAATTTTAGCACCGCGCAACATAAAATCATACGAATCGCACCGTAGGTCCTCGAAAAACATCTGTACGAATTTTCAAAATTTCTACCCGCGCGCGCTGTCCGAATCCTTAAAAACCAATGGTTTTTCACGTATACCACCAAAAACCAGTACAGGTGTCCAGTGTTGGAACAGGGGGAAAAGTCGTATACTAAGCTAGCGTCCAGAAAATGTTACCACAACAAGTCACTGTACCCATGCGCCAGTGTAGTAGCCACGGTCGTCCGCAGGCCACGAAGTGAAGTGTCCGAACGTCATAGGGCGGGAAGCTGGGTGTGGGTGGTGGCGAAGAGTCGTTTGGAAATGTGGTAGAGCTTGAACCGGCCCCCCCACAAAGTGGGGGTATTGGCGGGCGTCGTATGAAAACCCTGGCACTGGTGAGAACGGAGTGTCCCCACGTGCTAGTAATTGTTGTTGTTGTTGTTGTTGTTGTAATTGGTGGTGTTGGTGTTGGTGTTGTTGTTGATGTTGTTGGTGGTAGTGTTATTGTTGCTGTTGCTGCTGTTGTGGCTGTTGTTAGTGAATTCTCACTACTGAAGAATAATTATTGTTGGTCCCCCCTCCGGTGACCACTGTGTTTTTTCAATTGAATTGCTTCCCCCGGGGCTCGCACCCGTTTTTTTATGGGAAAGTCACTAAGCTCAAACTGGGCCCCTGGCCCCCGGTTTACAAGAGCAACAATGGTTCCCGCCGAACACTTCCTCACCATGTATTTCCAAATCGCACTCTTGCGCGGGACTTCCTCACAATTCATGTACGCATCGCGCTCTCGCGTGGGACTTCCTCGCAGTTTAATCAAACGATGCGCCCTCGGCGCTCAGGAATCACACTTTCGTTTTGGTTTTTCTCACGATTTACTTGTGAATCGCGCTATCGCTCGAGACTTCCTCCCGATTCATGCAGGACCACGCTTCAGCAACCCGCCTGCTCGACCTCGTCGCCTGGGCCCGCCTTCCCGGCCTGCCCGCTATGGGTCTGCTCACCCGACCTGCCCGTCTGGTTCTACCACTTGTGTTCTGTTCCTTGCCCCCCTCCTGCTAATTTCTCTCGTGCTCCATTATTTTCCCTTCCCCCTTCCGCCCGTCCTCTCTTCCCTTGTTTTAGGGGCTGCACTAAATGCACGTGGCAGTTAAGGAGGATATATCCCCAAGGGCGTACGATCGGAGACGACGAGGGCGGGTACCGAGGGTTCGGAATATACGTGTTGATTGGCACGTGAACAGATAGGAGCGAACAGTCTTCAATTTTGTTGTTGTTGTTGCCGTTATTGCGCCGGTTACGGTTGCGATTCCGGCACAGTTGTTTCTTTGTTTCAGTGGACTAGGTTTCAGGGTTCTGACTCGACAGCAAAATGTCCAGATCTGACAAAACATGGTTATGCTGTTTCCAGGGCTAACGAAGTTCCACACCCACATCTGCTCAAAGCGATGCCGGTGGGAATCGGCGATCACGCGCGCGTAGAAGCAGTCGTCCCGTTGAACCTGGCATGCGACACGTCGCCTAATCATTTGGATCTGGCTCTCATGGCTGGCGGGGGCGCGTACGTGCACGCGCCGCCGCCCCAGATCGTCGGCCGTAGAGAGTAACACGTGGCTCGCGTGCCGCGGGGACCCCCAGAAACGTTGTGGTGGCCACACCGCGTGGTGAGTCAGTGGGAATTCGGGGTCACCGCACGGGTGTTGGGACTCTGGTCGGTCTCCGAGGACTTCTCCTCGGGCGCCTGGGGCCTGCGGGATCCCAAAACCCTGCGGTGTCGGACCGCGCGGTGAGGTCGCTGGAGCTTTCGCTGGAGCTTCCGCTGGAGCTTCCGCGGTTTGGGGGCCCCGAAGTGCCAGACGTTGTCACCGTTCTCGAGCTCCTCGTTGACGAGCCCGTGGCGCGCACCTCTCTCTCTCTCTCGAGCCCCCACGCGCCCGCGAGACGACAGCAGCTTGTGTATCACCGCGGGCGGCGGGGGCGTCGTGAACGACCACCTGCTTTTTTCGGGCGTCGAGTTCATGGAGAGCCTGGCGGACGTGCCGGCCCTTGCCGCCCACACGGTGGAGCTCTGGGTCAGGAGGGCGCCGGGCCCGGAGCATGGGGCACCAGACTTGTTCGGTCGTTCTCTGGTAGCGACCGGTCGGCACTCCAAAGCGGTCGCGACCGATGGCGACTTGTCAGTCGCGGCCATTCGGTCGCGACGGTTCTGAAAGCAAATCGGTCGCGACCGCTTCCGGAATCTGCAGCCAAATGGGTAGCGACCGATCTCGCCAGTCGCGACCAGAAGGTTCTTTGCATCCAGCGATCAGGGGGGGGGGTAGAGCCCGCCCAGAAGCCCGCGCAGAGGAGGGAGGAGGGGACTCTGCACGTGCCTTCGCCTTCGAGGGTCGAGTCAGGGGCAACGATAGGGGGGGGGGGCAGGCCTAGGGGGGGACGCATCGACCCCCAGTCGCCCATTGATTGCCGACATGGGGCCCGATAGCCCAAAACCTGCCCAGGAAGGTGCGGATCCACTTTCGGAGGCCTATCGCCGATCTATCGGCGATGTATCGCCGATTCCAGGTCGATGCGTCCCCCCCTGTGCCAGTCCCCCCCTATCGTTGCTGGGCTTTTTTCCACCACCACCACCACCATAACTAAGTTGGAGGGGGGGGGTCCTCCTCATCCTCCCCTCCTCCTCCTCTCTCCTCCTCCTCCCTCTCCTCCTCCCTCCTCCTCCTCCTCCCCCTCCTCCCCTCCTCCCCCTCCTCCCCTCCTCCTCCTCCTCCTCCTCCTCCTCCTCCTCCTCCTCCTCCTCCTCCTCCTCCTCCACCTCCTTCCCCCCTCCAGCTCATGGTGGTGGTGGTGGAAAACAGGCCCATCACCCGTTGCCCCTCCTCAGGGAGCTGGCAGCTCATCCTCGGCGGAGGGCGGCGGCAGCACAAGCGGGGGGGGGGCGGCTCCCGGCGGCGGAGGCCCAGCGGGAGGCCCAGCCGGCGGGAGGGCCGGCGGGAAGGCAGGCGGCGGCCGTCCAGGCGAGATGCCATCTCTTCGCGTGGACCTCGTTTTTTTTTCGAGGTGGCCTCAAGTCGGGCGTGTCCCTCTACAGGAGGAGTGCTCCAAAATAGTCCCAAGATCATCTGGGGGCGATGCTATGACCATGCCTGACCATTTGGGAGCCTTTTTTTGGCGAGAGCGCAACGCAGTTATGTTCGGTGTCACAAAAACGCGGACCTGGGAATCATTCCCCACAGCCGCCCCGCCGCTGGCGCCGCGGTTCGCCGCGTTGCCTGTGGTGGGGCGGGCTGGGTTCGGTTGGGGGGGTGCGTTTGGGTTGCCTCGCCTCATGTCTTCATGGACTTCGTGTTCCTCGTCTTGTTCGTGTTCCTTACCCACGTCTCCCCGCGGTGGGGGGAGGGTACATATTTCCCCGCGTCGCACGCGCCGCCCCGTGGGCGCTTTTCGGCCGAACGCGAGGCCGGCGCCCTCGGTGCGCGCGTGGTCGGGCCGCTGTTGCGCGTCCCGCCGGACGCGCTGAGCGACCCAGCAGTCGTGCGCGCCGCTCGCGCGGTGCAAGCGCGAAACACTTGGCAGGCCAGGCCCAAGATGTTTATTCGAGAGGCGCTCCTCACCAGATCACTGAGGCATCTCGAACGCCACCAGTCGGGGCGCGAGCTGCAGATGCTTTTCTTGACGGCGTACATATTCCTGTTGCGATTGCCGTCGGAAACACTGCCGATGTCGCTCGGGGCGGCGATCCGCCGCGGGCGGTCGAGCCGAAGAGCTGCCTCCGTCTGCATGACGGTTCGATCTCGCTGATTTTGCTTTGGCGCAAGAATCGCGCCACGCCGCTCACGATGACGCGAACGCGCTGGTACGCGCGCTGCCCATCAACGTGCCCCGTGCACGCGCTGGGAAAATTCTGCGCCGAAAGCACGTCCCAGCAGCCTTTCGCGGGTTTCCGCCCGGACGCAGTCCTGTCGGCGTTGAGAGCGGCCCTGCAAGAGCTCGGGGTGCCGCGGCACGATGCCTATCGCACCCGCGATTTTCGTCGGGGCCGCGCCCAGGATATGGCGGCGCGTGGCTCGCGGCTGGCCGACATCCTTCGCGCCGGAGATTGGCGGCCCGCCGCCTTCCTGTCATATTTAGAAAGGGGTGCGTTTGAGGACGGCGCCGTCAGGGAAGCGCGCGGCTGCGCTCCGTCCAGCGACGAAGACGAGGACTGAGATGGCTGCGATCCCAAAAAGCACCTTCGGCGAGAACAGCGTTGGGTTTTCCTCGCGCGCTGGTGCAGCAAGGGCCTTGGGCGTCGCTGCACCCGCGCGCTCCCGCGGGGGGCGGCCTACCCGACGAGCAGCGCCCCCCGCGTTCCCCCCCCAACCCTCGGGTTTTCCAGGGTAGCGTCTTTTGTGGGCGAGAACGCAACGCAACTTTGTTCGGTGTCGCAAAAACGCGGACCTGGGAACCATTTCCCCTGGCCGCCCCGCCACTGGCGCCGCGGTTCGCCGCGTTGCCTGTGGCGGGGCGGGCTGGGTTCGGTTGGGGGGGTGCGTTTGGGTTGCCTCGCCTCAGGTCTTCATGGACTTCGTGTTCCTCGTCTTGTTCGTGTTCCTTACCCACGTCTCCCCGCGGTGGGGGGAGGGCACATATTTCCCCGCGTCGCACGCGCCGCCCCGTGGGCGCTTTTCGGCCGAACGCGAGGCCGGCGCCCTCGGTGCGCGCGTGGTTGGGCCGCTGTTGCGGCTTTTGTTTCCCCTCACCCTTCGCTGCTCCTTTGGTTGGGGCGGGGCGCGGGGCGTCGCTGCGCCCGCGCGTTCCAGCGGGGAGCGGCGAGCGACGAGCGCGTCGCTCGCCCCCCACGCGGGCGCGGCCTGCCCAACGAGCAACGCTCCCCGCGCTCTCCCCCCAACCCTCGGGTTTTCCAGGGTAGCGTCTTTTGTGGGAACTACTTGCGATTTTTTCTTCCAACGACGGCCTCTAGGGGGACGCGCCCGACCTGAAGTTGGCCATGTCTTTACACATGTTTGCCAGCGTGGGTCCCAGAACAGTGGGATCTTGCACTTTCGACGCGCTGTCTATGCGATCGTTTTTATTTGTTTTTTTGCCGATTGGCGCGGGCCCCCCACCCCCCACCCCTCCATGGAGTAGATCTTGGCTGTTTGTTGGCGCCTGTTTCGAGCGGGCGGAGTCTACCCCGGAGGCATCACTCTTGCAAACTGTCGCGTTAAGCAGAGGTCTGGAGCCAGACCCCCTCCCCTCCCCTTTTTTTCCCGATGTCGCAACGTCGTTGTTTAATGTATTTTACAACAAAAGATCTCACTACAGTGGGGACCCATGCCAAGAAGCACCCTGCTTGCCTCCAGGGTGCCCTGTGTTTCTTGGGTCTCGATGGTCTTGCGATGGAGAGCGCGCGACGTCCCTGCGCCGAAAATCCATGTGGGCGTCCTGGGGTCTAGGGATTGAGTTCCTGGTGGAAGGTTTCTTTTGGCTGGGCCCCTACAGTTAAGTCGGGCCTGTCCTCCTACAGTGGGATTTTGGGCGACAAATAACAGATCGTCAAAACATATACCCGAATGGTAAAAAAAGAATCACCAAAAAGTCACCATGTTATTTTTCACTATTTTTGAAAAGTTCCCCTGTAGAGGGACACGCCCGACTTAACCCTACGGCCGGCCCTGATGAGTAGGTCGACCCTCCAAATCCAGAGTACCCTTGTGCCCTGCATCTCGCGACCCGTGCCTCCTGCATTCCCATGGCAATGTGGCCCTTGGAAGGGTCTTGTGTCCTCTCGCGCGTCCTGTCCGATCAAGCCCGAGTGTACTGCATGTGTCCCCAGTCCGTGGGATGAGCTTCGCGAGATGGCCGCAGTCGCGCGTGTGACCGCCGCTGGTGCTCGCGCGTAAACGTCCCGCCCCTCCCTCCTTGCAGCCTGGGGGGCAAAGTTCAACGGGGCGGCGGAAGCGACGATGACGATGATGACGAGGACGATGGTGATGACGATGACGATGACGATGATGATGATGCTGGTGATGATGATGATGAGGATGAGGATGACGATGATGACGATGATGGCGATGATGGCGATGCTGATGTTCATGACGACGGTCTGGACGATGCCGGCGACGAAGATGGCGATGGTGGTAAGTTGATGGGGATGGCCATGTCTGTAGTAATGATACCGTTGTTGCTGTTGCTGCTGATGGTGATGGTGTTGGTGCTGTTGTTGGTGAGGACGATGAGGAAGTGCGCGCGCAGAAATCTGACGAGGGCAACGACATCGACGGTGATGATGTTGACGGTGGTGATGATGACGACGATAGTGGTGATCATGGTTGTGGTGATGATGATGATGATGATGATGATGATGATGATAATGATAGTGATGATGATGGTGATGATGATGACTACCATGATCATGATCATGATTATGATGATGATGACGATGATGAGGAGGAGGACGATGACGATGGCACTGACGTTGCTGGCGATGATGGCAACGATTGTGCCGATGAAGACGAGGAGGAGGTGCTCGCGCGGCACACGCCCCTCCCGTGCCAACGCAGCACAGCAGCGCAGCAGGAAGAGGGTTGATATTAAGACCCGGCGCAGTGCTCTGCTTGAACTGGTTCGGATCTTAGACACCCACTCCTTGTCCACACAGTCTGTCTCTCTCTCTCTCTCTCTCTCTCTATTCTCCCTCTGTCTCTCACGCTTACTGTCTCTCTCTTTCTCTCTCTCTTCCCCCCTCTCTCTTTTTCTAGCCCTCTCTATCTCTCTTGTTCTTCCTCCCTCGTCCTTCTTTTCCCTCTCGAAGGCACACTCAGCGTTTCTGCTGGCCTGGGGCTCACGAGAGGGTCTCGAGCCCTTCCTGGGAGCCTCCTGTGGGCACGCCCTGGGGTCTCGGCGCCGGCTCTGGCGCGCTGGCTCCGCGGAGCTCTCCCGAGGAGGCTCGATTGAACCCTCTCGGGGAAGCTGTTGGCATCGAGCAGCCTGCAGTGCCGTCTTTAATACATGCTCCGCGTGCGGATCATGTATTACAAATTATAAAAAAAAAAGACGATGATGAATGTATGCGTTGATTTATTAGTAAATTAGTCA